GATTAAATAATAGTGGACCAGCCAAAGTAGAATATTATATTTTGGACGGCATTCTATGGTAATAGCAGGCAACCATGTCAAATCAATCAGTCAAAGGATGGAGAAGAAAATGCAGGTGGATGCCACCCTTAATTTTGACCCTAAATATACCTAATTTTCATTAATGTATTTATTCCCATATTTGGGTGTATTCTTTATATTGTATTTTTAAAAAAAAGTTTATCTTGGTGGTTCTAGTTACACCCCCTTACTTAAATAACATTTTCTTAAGCATGTTACAAGTGACATAAAAATCACGAGGACATAGTAACGATCCAAAATAGCTACTTTATACCCAAAATTGCGCGCATTTACTTTGTCTCCAGATATCATCAAGTAATCTTGCCAAGCCTCAGTATTGATGTGCTTCAAATTCACCAAGTTGCTTACTGGCACAGTGTCACTATTAAAACCTTATGGGAAATCATGTGAACAATGATAACATTGTGGTGTTAAGCTCAGCAAACAAAAACGGGGTAAAACGAGCTTGCTGTTCGTAAACTGGGCTTAAATTAGGAGAAGGGTCGCCTAACGTGGGATACTTGAATAAGTTCAAGGAAACACTCCCCCCCCCCAAAAAAAAAAAAATGTTTGTAATAATTATGTCAGTGTCAAACTGTTTTCTTTCCCATTAAATTTTTTTTCTAATCATTTAGAGAATGTCCTTGAACTTTTTCAAGTCTCTCATGTTAGGCAATCCTTCACTAATTAGGCTAATTAACAGACACCTCGTTTTCCCTTTTTTTGTTTGCTGGGCTAAATGTCACAATGTTATCATTGTTCACATGATTTTCTGTAAGGTTTTAATAGGGTCACAGTGCCAGTAAGCAACTTGGTGAATTTGAAGCTCATCAATACTGATGTTTGGCAAGACTTCTTAAAGATATCTGGAGAAAAAGTCAAATGCCCCCAACTCTTGGGTATAAAAGGAGCCAGTTTGGATCGTTACTATATTATTTAGTCGGTTATATGCGTTAGAAAATGTTATTGAAGTAAGGATGTGAAGTAGAATCACCAAAATAAAATTTTCAAAAAATCAAAAATAAAAGATATACACAAATAATGGCAATAATATACTACACGGCACGTATTAAAGATTAATGCAAATTTATTAGGTATATTTAGGGTCAAAATTAATGGTGGCATCCACCCACATCTTGTTTGTTATGGTTCAAAGAAATGATCTAGCATGGATGCCAGCTATTACCAAAAATGCCGTGACATTATTCTCCAGGGTACTTTTCCACATTTGGCTGGCCTTCTATAATGATTTAAGAGAACATTCCAACCAAAAATATTCACCCCTAAAAGAAGTCATTTAGCCCATTGTCATGTTGCAAAATGATGTCTGCGCTCCATTGAAAAATAGAGCATTGTAGGGCAAAATTTCATCCCAATTTTACAGAAATACAAGCTCACAGTCCTATGCGAGGCTTGCGTCTTTTTTTTCAAACCCTCTAAGACATGGCCAACAGTCAGTTGCCGTGTCACGCGTAGCTGCTCTATATTCTCGTCCACACAACTGATAGCAACGCAATTGGCCAGCGAAAGATGGCCGTGAAAAAGGCTTCACAATGAATTTGCAATGTTCATGGCAAACCACAACCGATCAAAAAACACAAAATGTTTTAGGTAGTTAAAAACCTACTTCATCAATCTATCGAGGTATTTTTTCTCCAAGAAAAGATTTCGATGCATTTTGACGATATTATTTCACGGACAAATCAATTAAAAATTAGGTCATGAAATTCCAGGGTTTTTTTCGAGAACGACGAAAGTTTCCCAAATTTTGAGGTAATCAAACGAGTGAACCTTCATCTACAAAAAACCTCGTGAACGTGATGTCTTTAATATTTTAAGAATTCGTTGTACACCTGATGTTTCCAAAAATTTCCATTTTTCACAACGCGAAAAGACGGTGTGACCTTGTGACTCATACGCCCACTGATTGGTTGAGCTCGCGCTGAGTATGGTCTGCTTAATATTCATAAGTCATTCATTGCACGAATAGCGCGTGCTAAACACAATGTTTTCAGGCCAACGTACGTCGACATACATTTACACACGTACATTGTGATTGCAAATCATGACATCTCGCAAAAGTCTTCCTTTTTCAACCGGCGATTTGGACCAAACATTAGAAGTCTCCTGCACGTGTTTCACATCATGAAGCGTATACTTTCCTCTATCTACTAAGCCTTGCCATTTGTTTCGGCCTTTTTAAAAAAAAACGAAGGTACACCTAAAAAACTATCGGCCCTCGATTTTGTTGATAAAAAAATATAATTTTGTTTGACAGGCCATAACAACACTCTATATTTGTCAAAAGCAGTTATTTTTGTTATCAAAATAAAGCACACAATTTCAACTTTTCACTTATATAGCACTTTTTGTGTTTTTCTGTAGTCTCGAATAAATTTTGGGCCATGCGCGCTTGACCTCGGGACGAGAAACTGAGGTCAAACAGGGCTGTGTGCGTGACACGACTACTAACTGGCCAACAAAATGCTCTTATATACAGGAGAATTTGAGGGCATACAAATCGGGATTGCCGGCGTACGCAATGTCGAGCTTATTTATGGCCAGCACCCAATGTCGAGCTTATTTATGGCCTGCACCCTCCTTAAAACATTGACAGTGTTTTTTTCTGAATAGTGAGGGCACCTTGGCTATGGTGTTATTTTAGGAAAACACTGTTTAGTTTTGGGGGTTGTCTGTCTTAATTGCGGATCCAAGAATTAGCTCATCGAAAACTCTTGTGAGGAATGTTGCTCAGTGACCTACAGACATGTAAGGAAGAAACAAATGACAAAGACAAGAAAATCTAGGACATACATCAAGATATCAAAAATTCTTAAAACTATTGTATTTTTCCTGTCAGTAGTTTCGTAAGCGTATGATTCGAGTATGTGTTTGTCCTTTTTCTTTCTTTTATCAATATTGTGACGAAACAGGGGTACAGGTATATGCAGACTTGTGGAGGAGTCTAGGTCATAGGAATAATTTATGCGCGTGATCTAGGACATCCGGTGCGTGCTTATAATGCCGAAGTGCGCGTGGACCAATCAGCAATAAATTGTGCTGCGTGATCAGGAGATTAATAATTCATGGCGTGCATTTGACCAATCAGCACCGCGTATTATGCAGGCTGTGCGCGAATTAGCATGCTTTAGCGTGGGGTCTTGAGATCATCTCGTTAGTTCGAAAGATGGCGTCAATGCAGTAGGAACGCGTTCTGGTGCTGTTGCCAAGTTGCAAGAAGCCCATCTCTGACGGTGGACGCCCTGGTGCGGCTGGGTTCGGGAGTTGATGCTCTGGGTTTAGCTAGCAGTAAGCTAAGTGTTGTCTAGTTTATATTCAGTGAAGTTGTAGCTCAAGGTCTGTTATTCAGTGTCGATTATCTAAGATAATTGGGGACAAAGATTTAGATGGAATACTAGTTGTGAAATTAAGGCTGATTATTGCGACTTGATTAGTGCTAGAACAAAAGGGCTAGGAGTTATAGAACTTGGTTTGAGAGGCTAGTGAGACTGTGATTCGGTGGTAGATTGCTTGTCGTGGGTTGGACACCATTGTATCGGTGGGGTTTTACGACAGAGTCGATCATTGCCGTAATCACTGAACTAGCTTGCCTGACGAGTTTACTCTGTGCCGCGTTCTGAGCACTTGTGAGGGTTACCTGTTTTGTGTAAGGGTTATTGCACGTAAGGTTTATACTGTATGACTCACTCTGAGGGTAACTGGTTTCCCGTGAGGGTTATTGTGACCGCTCAGTTCATGTGAGGGTTTCTTGGATTACATAGCGGAGTCTGCTTTGACGCTGAATTGGGTTGAGGGTTACCTTTCCTCTGTTAGGGTTATTGGGACAGCTCAAACTGTGCGAGAGTTATTGGAACTGTGACACAGGGTATAAGTCATTATCATGTGGTGCAGTTGACCACGTGAGGGTTACCTAAGGCTAAGTTTACTACAAAGGGTGCAGTTGACCCTTGTTATAACCAGTGAGGGTTACTCTCTATATGTGAGATATATGTCCATAATTTATCGCCTCATTAATTGCTGTTATTGTGCATTATTGTATATTATAGTAAATTATTGTTAAGCTGTAATAATTGACCAAATCTATTGATGATTGAGATTCTTGAATAAATCCTATCGATAATCGTCTTTGGAATCACTAGTCTCTGTGAGGTTTACTCAGGTTCACTGTGAGGGTTACCATGTTCACTGAGGGTTACCTAGGTCTGCCGTGAGGGTTACCTGAGTTCACCTTAAGGCCTATTGTCGCTACTTGTATTGCTCTAATTACATTCCATTGATTACTCAATCACAAAACGGTGGTATAATTCCACCAAACGAACAGCCCCTAGGCTTAGTCCACTGTTCGTTAATTGTCCCCCCCCCCCTTGCGTATGGGTAGCCACTCACCCGTTCGTTGGGCTAATAAATATATTTGTGGGATAATAGGAGTTGGCTAGAGGCCTGGGGTAAATAAGACCAGTTTCCCCTGGGTTCCGCCAATCACCGGTTCCGCCACAAATAGTGTCAGGGGTCGGTTTCGCCACAATATCATAACAGGCTGTACTCACAAACTCAAGGTTTAATGCAAAGTTGACGCAAAAGTGACGCAATAAAGTAGACTTCTTTAAAGTACAGCTGCTAGAGTTCGCAAGGGGTCTCGACAGAAGCCTTTGATCCATAATCATCGTTCTTGGCTCTGTGAAAACTAGTACGAACAAATAAAATGCAGATAGATTCCCATAAGTACTTGTAATAAGGTCGTAACGTGAATACATGTCATGCATGTACATGAATGCAAATATCCAAATCCAAAGTGCGGCAAAACATAGGGTGAACATGTCTCTTATCAATCGTCAGGGGTCTGCTGTTGACAATAGCGGCCGCTTCCATCATGAGGGTTCTCAGAGATTCATCATCAAGGTGAGAACCCATCTGTTCCATCAGAGACAGGAGCACTCTTCGCACTGGGTGGAATTGCCTTTCCCACACCCCGCCTGAATGACTAGCAGATTGACTAGCACATTAATCTTGAAGTCACTGAAGTTGCAATTCTCCTTGAGTAGAAATTTCTTGACTTGACCAGTATCCATTTCCTTTAGGGCTTCTTCAAACTCTGATCGTGTCCAAACAAAATTGGTACCTTGGTCGCATCTCAGTTGTCTTATTGGTCCTCGAATGGCGATGAATCTACGCAATGCTCTGATAAAGGCATCAGTACTGAGCGCAGTCGTAGTCTCAATGTGGATAGCTCGGGACACCATGCAGGTGAAGAGGACACCATATCTCTTGAGTTCTTTCCGGCCTTCCCTTATATACCATGGCCCGAACAGGTCAACTCCACAATATGTAAAGGGTGGCGCAGGTTCAAGTCTGTCCACTGGTAGGTTTGCCATCTTCTGTTCTTCAACCGGATTGTATAGCTTCCTACACTTGACGCATTTAGAGATGAAGTGGGAGACGGCAGAGCTGCAGCCAATGATCCAATAGCCGCTAACTCTGATCTGATTGGTAGTCATACTTCGTCCCTGATGACCGGCTACTTCGTGGCAGTGTCGGATTATCAGTTCAGTGATATGATGGTTCCTAGGGAGTATTGTAGGGTGCTTGAAGTTGGGAGGAAGGTCGGCTCTCCTGATTCGTCCACCAACACGCATTACACCATCTGCATCGATGAAATGGTCCAGTCTATACAGGCAGCTCGTCTTTCTCGTGGCCTAGTTCCGTACTCTGGCTGTTTGTCGATCAACTGAGTTGCTGCAGACATCAAGTGAAGCCAGAATCTTTATTTCACTAGCAAAGGCATGTCGCTGAAGGAGTCGAATGGTCTCAACATCTTACTGACGGAGCTGCTCAATTGTGGCTGGTTCGTAGAGAAGGATCGCGTTCTCTCGTAGTGTTTTCATTGGGTCAATCCTCTTGTGCCTTCTTCACTGAGTGGGCTTTCAGATGGGATTTCAGCTTGAGGAAGGCTGCTACTGCTCTTTTAGCTCTATGCCACTGGGAGAACCTTTCCAAGCGAAATACATGAGGATCGCCTTCAAAGCTTCCGTTGTCCCACCATAGGAATCAGAGAAAATTGCGATGCTCTGCGTTGACTTTGATTTGGTAGAACATCACATCTACGTCGCAAATGAGTGCCACAGGTTCTCTTCTGAATCTGCAGAGTACACCCACAAGGGCGTTCGTAAGGTCATAATTTAGTACCTGTGCCCATTTACTACCTTTGCCAGTTTGTTACCTTTGCCTATTTATTTCCTTTGCCTATTTATTACCTTTGCCATTTATTACCTTTGCCCATTAATATCCTTTGCCCTTTAATTTCGTTTGCCCATTTAGTACCTTCGCCCATTGATTTCCTTTGCCCATTAATTTCCTTTGCCCATTTAGTACCTGTGCCCATTTATTACCTTGGCCCATTTATTACCTTTGCCAGTTTGTTACCTTTGCCAGTTTGTTACCTTTGCCCATTTATTTCCTTTGCCTATTTATTACCTTTGCCCATTTATTTCCTTTGCCCATTTATTACTGAAAAACAAAGATGGCCGCTGAATACAAAGGTTTTCACACATAGGGATAACTGCAATAATAGGGACCATTAGAAACGGTGCGCGTACGCGAGACGTGTACGAATACGGCGTTTCCGTATCGCGTACACGCATGCGTTGAAAAGAGGATTAAATTTTGCAGCATGTGCACAAACGTGACTTGTGCGGGAATGCCGCGCTGTCACTTCAATATCACTAAATATCGGACTACATTGCATCTACATTGTTTTTTTCCCTCACTTTTCGTAATGATAACTTTCATACTCAAAATGAAAAAAAAATAAGAATGGATTTCAGGAGAGTGCTATTAAATCCACTTTGCTTACATGTGCACAAATATACATGCAGATTGGTTAGACTACCTCTAAACCAACTGAAATGGAACTGAGCGTTTCATTTTTTCTATAATCTTAGCTCGCCTTCTTTACAAAACTGTTTCAAGGGTGAACCTAATAATGAGCCCTTTTCAGTCAAATGTAAAAGGTTGTTATTAACATCATTCAGTAATTATCCTGAATTGTAACTCCCTAACTTTTTTTATCAGAGCTTTTTTTTTTACATCGAAATAAGAAATCCTTGCCAAGCAAATAAATGTCATATCATTATTTACTGACATATACATGGAACATTGTCAAGGCTGATACATGTATCATTTGGTAAATATTCATTTATTTCATGTGCAGTTTTTTTTTCCTTTTTCGAGGATGGCTTGTTTACTTCCTTTTCTTTTTTTAGGCGTTTTAACTTGAAGACTGAGACAAGTTTGTAAATAAGGCCACATGAAATATTGTAAGCTACTCACACTGCTAATAGTTTCTTGTTCTTTTGGATTATTATTTTTTTGCAAGCGAAAAGCAATAGTGCTGAAGAGTGTGATACTGACGTTTAAGTAAGGTTATGACAATTCGATAGATTGACTTTACATCTCGCGGGGGGTGGGGGTCTGATCTACTATAGCTACTTAATGTTAAAACTTGTTATACACTGGAATTACTGTGAAGCCTTTTGTTACACAACTCCAGTATTTTAGCCCTTGTTTATTCAAGCAACACAACATCAAAAGTATGTTGGCCTACATGAAAATAAGTATCAATAAGGGCATTATGGTTACATATGTTTGGTTCAATAAAATTGACTGCATTTTCCTAATAAAAATGTTGCAGAGGTGGCCATAATATTACTTTTCTAAATTAGTGCATATAATTAATATTAAAAATAAATAATTTAATATTAAATAAAATTTATCAAATTTGAACTAAATAATAAGTCACAATAAGCCAACCTTAAATACTGAATATGTAGATTTTGTTGTTCAAAGAAACAAGTTGTGGCACAGTCCCAGCATACTGGAATTAAAATAAATTCTAAAAGTCAAACGTTCAAATAGAATACAATACATCATAACAAATAGCAAGACTGGCAGTATTGTGTTTATTGGATTTACAGAGTTCAGCTGTATGCCAACTTAACCAACCTTACCTACTTCCCATATTAGACAAATTACAATAAAATATATTTGTTTACAGTAGTATAATAAAGAAAATGACATTTAACTTTTATTTTTACTATAAAAATAGAATAAATAGGCAATTTATTGTACAGTGTCATCCACCAAAAAGCAGCACAAATGAATGTTTGTACATGTTTAAGAAACTGATGAGCAGTCCATTTTGGCAAACTAGCTTAATAAAGGCAAGAAAAATATCATTTATGAAGTTATATTAAAGAAATAATCCTTTTACAGTCCTTGTTTTCTCAAATTTTAGTTATTAGTAAATCCAAAATAATTAATTGTAATATTGATAAGATCAAATAACAGCAAGACCAGCAGTATTGTCACGTCAACTCAATCTACTCTTGATTGCTGTAGGGTCTCTGATTCTTGAACATCTTCAGGGTAGCTCCAAACTGTAGCTTGTTGCTCAGCTATAAGAAGGTGTAAATAAAAGAAAATAATGTAAGTATTTTCCATGGAATGCATCCCAACATGCAGCGGCGGCGATTTCCAAAAGGTTACCCCCAATTTTTTTTTAGCCTGTAAAATAATTACAAAAGGTTAACCCACTTTTATTTCTTTCCATGAATTATTTTTATAAAGGTTACCCACAATTTTTGTGGCCCATTTATCACCCAGTTTTTTTTCACTGGTCAGGTGACCTGAATTCATAATAAATTTTGTTCGGTTCCATAAATGTAATAACTCCGAGGGTGAACGTGCATTTTAAATGTTTGGAGGGATACAATTTGTTCCATGTCTTGTTTGATAGTTGGATGATAGCATTCAGCAGAAAATCTAGGGAATGTGCTCCCTGAGATTATTTTTTTAGAGTTTCGGATGATCTAGGTGCCTTCTGATGCAATCTAGAACTAACAACGTACAAAGAAATGACCTTCATTATTAGGGGGGCCATTGCCAACTTATAGGGGTCCCCTCAACCAAAAATATTTGGGGAGGGATCGCTGCCCATGCCTATGCCAAATGGGGACCCGGGCTCTTGAAAATGTACCTAGTTTCACTTGCGGTTTGATTCAAGAGTGAATAACATAGGGTCCAATCTTGAGGAATACTCATGTTTACCTTCAAGCGGAATTAGATTTCAATGTCTTTAATGTACTCTTGAGAGTTTTAAAAAAAGTTTTGGAAGTTTGGCATTACAATTAAATGAAAACTGACACAAAAATGTAAACATACCAGGAACAAATCCTTCAGACTCAACATCTCAGGTGCAGTTATGTTGCTCTTGACATCCTGTTCAATAAAAACAACAAAATAGATTTGCTAGAGTACATGTTTTGCATATTTCAAGAATTTTGTTCAGGTATCTTTGGCCGTTTCACAGTCTATTTTTAGATTTCATGCTTCTTTTGCAGTACATCATACAATTACAAAAATGTGTAGTATGATATCATTGTAGTGTGAAGCTTGACTGCACATTACTGTGGCTAACAAGTGTTCGTTTTTCTTTCTGGTTAGAACGCTGACATGCAGGTCAGACATGCAGGTATGAAATTGGTGGTTTAAATTTGGAATACATATTTGTATAACTTGTGGCTAATAAAATTCACAAGCATGACAAATGATTACAACTACAGCAATGAAATACGTGTAACATTTTTGCATGATATATACATTTGTTCTTTTTTGTTTTTTATCTACACTGACCCGACAAAGTAACATTACAGCTCAACAAGAAATAAACTTTAATTTACTTTTGGCAATTAGGCCTCGAGTTGCCAATTGAAGACCAGCTTCCCAGGACTTTTCCTTCTTCATAGACTGCTGGAGTTATCTTTGGCATTTTCTTGGAGTTCCTCTCTTGCTTACCGTAGATAATAATTTTTGCAGGAATTCATCAGTTCTGTTTTATTGAAGCTGGTTCCTGACCTGAAAGTAATTAAATCCACAGACTAGTTGAAGCTTTTGGTAAATGTATGGGTGCAAACGTAAGTGCCAAGGATTGGCTTAGCCCTAGCTCCCTTCTGGTTCCAAGATACTTGGCACTTGAATGGGGCTAGTTTAGCCAGAGTATAGGGCATGACTAATCGATTATAAACCTAGACTGGTGTTACTACACAGGGAGTAGGGTAGGCTGCATAAATTCTACATGTGTGAATATTTAGTACATGTACTTGCGCTATTTCGTCCAAAACAACGAAAGAAAGACCAATATAATTCATAAAGAGAATATATACAGCATTTGCTCCACTGACAAAAAAAATGAGGTCATCATAGATCACAGTCTAGCTCTGGCTTTGCACGTTTACTTTAGCCTAGGGCTAGGGCCACTCCCAACTGGCCCTAAACTGGGGCTAGTACTAAAAGAACAAACTCACATTCATTAAAGGAAGCCATTTGTCAACATGAGCTTACACATTGTTATTTTATTACTCATTATTGTTGACCCAAATTATCCACGACGCGTCGACGAGGCTTATCAAAGTCTTTTCATTTTTCACGATAAGGATGCAATTTATTAGCTCTAAAAACGGGTGAAGTGAAGGCTCAAAAAGTGCATACAATCTCCATCATGCCATGGTAATTCTTATCAATATAACATCCTTAACATTATCTTCACACTATACCTTAATTCCTACAAATTTGGGAGTTC